TATTAAAAGCTATCCAGATATAGTAATCCTCACACAAAAAAAGAGAGAAAGGAAAAGCGAAAAAAAGTAAAAGAAAAAAAAAGATATGGGGAGAAGCTTGAAGAGATGTCTAATTAAAAATTAGCTTCACTTGAATCAATTTAAAAAAGAAGGCTTCGCTACATTTTCTAAACTTTTATTTGAGTATTAGTTTATTATTAGTAAAGTTTTATGAAGTTCTTTTTCATATGAATACTTTAAGTGGCTTTAATATGATAATTTGTAATTTTTTCTGTAAAAAAATAGAGAATCAGAAATTTTGGACTTGATTGCTAAATATTCTCATACTTTTAGTATTAACTGGAGTTGTTTTGAATTTTTTTTAAGTTATGTTATTATATTTAGTAGACTAAGATATAGAAATCTAGAAATTAAATTTTTTACCATAAGTCATATTTTTATATAGTAAAGGAGTTACTTGAGGATAAGTAACATGTAAGTTTGGGAGATTTTGATACACCAAAAATATATGCATTTTTAGACTCATTTATACTCAACATATTTATACTCAATTTTGGTGATATTGTACTTTAATGGAACATATTTTTATGTTTTCTTGTAGTTTGTTGAATTTTAAGACTTGAAGCAATAAAGATGCAATAATGATGAAATTTAGAGGAAAAATGAAGAGGTTGAAAATTTGGTCAGCGCCAACGGCGCCGTTTGACAGAGAGCGGGAATTAATTAAATAAACACTAGCACCGACGGCGCTTATGGAGGTTCAGACCCTGTTTCTAGAAGATCTAACGAATTTGGACGCTTTTTATAGAGTTTTTGGATGCAACTATTGGAGAACCGACTCTAGGCTCTATTTGAGGCCAAAATTCATCAGAAAAACTCTCTTGGTCATTATTCGCCCCCTCTTCATTCTTTTTTGTCCATCCTTGCTCATTTTCGTCACACCTCGCCACCATACACATTTTCCATTTTCATTCCACCATTTAGGAGTCTATTAGTGATTTTTTTAAGAGTTTAGAGTTTTTGTGGTGAGATTAAGTGTAAATTCTTCTCTAAGAGTGTTGGAGAAGGAGAAAAATGAGAGATTTTTTCTTCCTATATTTCTTAGAAGAAGCTACAAGGGAGTTGTTTTGAGAAAGAGTTTCAGATAAGTGTTATTTATTTATTAAAATTGTATGAACTTTTTTTTATATATGAAATTTATGTTTTGTTGTATCTTTCTCATGAAGTCTGAGTAGTTTACTTTATCTTCCTCCTTATTCTGAGATATGATGAAATGAAGAAATAATATGGATGTGTCAATATTAAAATATAAAATAAATTATGATGATTTTTCAACTCCGAACTTAATTTACTTTTCGATCTGACCAATTGAATTGTTAAAATGTGTTGTGAAACATATGATTCGGGAAATGGAGTATGAGTTCTACAACCGAGTGAGAATCACATTTGATTCCATGAAGGAGAATTTCGTTCATGGAATTAAGTGTAAATAAATAGAGAAATATACTTTGTTATGTGTAGAATTGGAAAATTTTTAGGATGACAAACTAAAATTTTCAATTCGGTCTTAGTGTTTAAAAACTGTTTAACAACGAAAGCGAGAGTTAGCCTTCAGATGAAGGAAAGTGAGAGCTCTGGAGTGGTAGTCAGTATTCTCATAGCCTAGCTACGGATTTAGGGACTAAACCTGGGAATAGACAATGATTTTCTATAACATTATATCAGGGTAGAGAATTAAAACTGATTTTATTTGGCACAATACATATTAGAACAATTTATTTCACTCATTTTACCAAAACCTCATTGTAGTGGGAAAGATGTTTTTTCACATAAGAAATCTTAATCAATAAGAAATCCATAAGAAATCTTAATCACATAAACATAGTTTAATAATTTAGTAGTTACTGTTTAAACTTTGTATTTCAGTTTTGTTATTAGTTAAATAATTTAGTTCTGATCATATCTCAACATTTGAAATAAGTGACAGTAATTTCGTTTTAACTTTCTGTGAATTTCCTAGTAAATTTATCATTTCAAATTTAAACATTCCCCGTGGGATCGATTATTTGGGGCTTAAATAGAAAGTCTTTTATTACTTGATAACGATACGTATACTTGGGTAGAATCTCAACATTAATTGCTTAAATTTCTTATTCATAAAATATTAAATTAAGCTTTTGGCACCGTGCATAGCGGAATCAACTATATAATTTTTACACAACTATATTCTCAAGATCAGTAGGCGGACGATTCCTACAGATAATGTTGCAGGGGAGTTTGCAGGTAAGTAGACAGTAGTGGTTCCAACTCTTGCAGTGTCTGTAGGTAGACTGAAAACTCTTACTAGTACTAATGCAGGGAATTTGCAGGGAAGTAGACAAATTTAACTGTCTTTGACTCCAGTTCCTGCAGTGTCTGTAGGTAGACTGAAAGCTCATACATGTAATGATGCAAAGGAGTCTGACGAAAGTGGACAACTGTGATTGTTTCTTGACTGCAGTTTCTGCAGTGTCAATAGGAAGATTTGAGTTTAGTCTGTCATGTGTTTCGTCCTAGAGAGAATAAATGGGGGTTTCTGCAGCAAGGTTGAAACCGACGAAGAAGGGAATGTAAGTTGGTTGTCGGGATTCCATTCAAGGATACATCCAATCTCGCATCTACAATAGCCTTTTTCAAGTCGTTTTGCAAGCAAACCAATGATGAACTTCTCCTCTTTGGTTGGGAGTGCCATTGGAGAGAGATAGTCCCGCTCTTCGAACATCGGTGGTGGCTCTTCACAAGAGAGAGAAAGAGCAAATCACACCCAACAAATTCTACTGACAGAGAAAGCAGCAGAAGAAAGATTGGGTGGAAACGTAGCTCCCGTTGACGCTTGCCCAGGGAAGAAAAAATAGTGCAGGAGAGTGGGTTAGTGATGGATCTGGCTGCAAGACTCATGTTGAATATTTGTGGAAGAATAACAGGAAAAGACAGGAAGCAGTGTTGGATTTCAGGAGAAAAAAACAGTATTGTTTCCTATCATTGGGAAGAACAACAAAAAAAGACTACTTTGTTTCCTGGGGAAAAGCCCTTCGGGTAAGAACGGCGGGAACGTCTTGCTGCTGGGAAGGACAGCAGAGAAGCCACAAAACTCATCAAAGAAGGGTCTCCATTGAGAGCGAGAGCCAGTCGACAGTGGTCCGACTGAAATCCTGCGAGAAAAGGTCGCCGGTGCGAGGGCGGCAGTAATCCACGATTGGTTGCCCGAGTAATATATCCTCGATGAGGATCTCAAATATGTTGTCACTGTAGATGTACTCCAGTCTCGCGACAAGAAGGTCCGAGAATGGAATTCTGGGATTGACTCTTTGGCTAAGAGAGATCTAGCAGCTAAAACTACGTGCTATAAGGATCGATGACAGAAACCTTTAGAAAACCGAAAAGGTGAACCAGCGACATTTTGGGTGAAAAACGATAGCAGCTAGAGGAACCGACGGCTATAGATTTTCTAGAGGTCGGTAGAGTTGAAGCTCCCGGTTCAAGAAAGACCGACCATCAAACAAAGCTTGCAGGGAGAGAAGAAAAAATCGTTGTTTCAAATACCAAGATGAGCGACCCTCCCTTCCTGTAGTTCGACAATTCTCAAAAGAAGATTGGTAGCTATGGTACGAAATTAGGCCCTCATACCATGTTGAAATTCAGAAAAATGTGAAATACAAAATTATTTCATTGATATGAACAGGGGTATAAATAACCCTTACAAGAATCCTATAATAGGAAAAATAATAAAAATAAATAACAAGGAAAAAAAAGATATATTACCAAATAGCTCCAATAATCAAATTATATTAATTATTTGGAGATAAAGGAAATAATATAAAATAGAAAAACCTTAAATAAAAAAGGAACTAGCTCCTAATCTAAGAAAACAAATATAAAATAAGAAATTAAATAACTCATTAATACAAGATTAATACAAGGAAATATAATTTATTCTTCATAATTTCTCACAAGAATAAATTATTTCATAGTATAACTCCTAACAATGAGTAATTAGTTTGGCTCAAGCTTCACCATCTATCACCCATTATGATTTATTTTGACTTACTAATCATCTTATTTGAAGATAACCTAGAAATTTGTTTATCCTAAAAATGTATTTGATTGCATGTAATTAGGCAATATGTTCCGGAAATGAAAATTTTAATTTCACTCTTTTTTGAGTTAAATATATATATATATATAACATTTAATAGTTTTGAAGATATTTATGGTGCTTAAGATAAATATAGGTTTTAAAGTTTATCCAAACAAAGGAAAATCTAGTAAATAAACTATTAAATATGCTTTCTAACTTCAAGCAACCAAATGGTCCCTAACCAGGATTATACTAGTACCATACTTTGACATATGTAGTGTCGAGTATGAGGGTGGACGAATTTCAAAGCTAGACGATAAGAAAAACAACAACAACAACAAGTCTTTATCCTAATAAAATTTCAAAGCTAGCCATAAAACAAATAAGGAGAAAACAAAGACTACTGTCAGATTTTTTTAAAGCAGCTCTTTGGCCAAGCTATTAAATCTTTTGCCCTCTCAAAGTCATAAAATTCACTTAAATGATTTGAAGCTTTGTACAACGAGTAACACTTGCATCCCACTTGATTCTAAGTGATTATAAGAGCATTAACTTATGTAGAACCAATAAACAAAGATATCTAGTGAATGTATTGAACAAGAATTACGATCGATACCTTAATGAAGTTACTCATGATCAGAATATCAGTAACCGTTAAAACCCTTACATAAACGTTTTTCTCTCTTACTACTAATAGACTTACAAATAATTACATAAAATAGTCAACTTCATGTTTAAAAGAATATAGCTAACAAGAACATGATAACATGATAAAGAACAACTAGAGACAAACCATTGTAGGTAATAAGTTACCATCAATCAAAGCATTACGTTTGGTACCCACTAAAGAAAAAGATTAGTTAAAAAATTAATAAAAGTTTACCTGGGTGTATATCCACAGCAAAAACCTATAAAATGCATGTAAGAAAAAATAAGAAACATTGAGAGGAAGTAAGTGATAATATTCTGAAATAAGAAACCATCTTCTCCAGTTCTGCAAGTATGACCTCATTAATTCTACTTTGCAGTGTCAGTGCTAGAAGTTTTCGTCCTTGATTCCATAATACATGGACTGCACGATATGATTCCAGTGAATGGTACCCCTGAAATTAGACTTGTGGCGATTGGACAGAATTATGAGTTAAGAGTAAATCACTTAATAGTCTTACTGGACTTCACAAATATACAAATTAAACAACATAGACTCGCTCAACTAAAGACCATATGTAACTATTGGTATATAACATAAAATGCAATAGGAGAACAACAAACCATGAAAGATCCAAAAAAGAAACTCCTCACAACATAAACCTAACAAAAAAAACATAAAAGCTGACACACTTGAAACAGTGAGGATAAATATAGTGATAAAAAATTCACCTTGAGGTACAATAAAGTCCAGCTGTATGATGCACATGCAGTATCCCGATCTTTGAAAGCCTGCATAGGATAAAAATTGGAATGACAAAATAAGAATTCTCTAAGCAAATCTTTCTTCAGCGGTGCTAATACAAATTCTGAAAAAATATTTCATATTATGATTAAATAACCTTAATATCTTGGCGTATTGCATGCTGAAAGCCACTATCATTCATCATAGCATAGTAAAAAATGTCCATAAGTTGTGCTGCGAGCAGCGTTGGGTCCTGGAGCCTATTAGCCAGTACAAAACCCAACGCGCGTTCTAAGCAGTCGTGAGACAGAATACTAGCGTACAGAAAGCTACTCAATATCGGTTCTTTCTCAGCCTGACATTTTCACAAGAACATTACCTAGTAACATAGATGTAAAATCAGCAGCACAGTAAGTTACAAAGTAGCATGTAAAACTTAAAAAAGCCATTTCAAGGAATCGCAATTCATTTATTTATTATTTTAGTGTTGAGCGAAAAAATCGACATGGCATGGTTGGGAAAAAATTTGCGTACATAAGACGTAAGCAGAGCTGCGTCTGTAACCTGCAAACAGGTTACAGGGAGGATTTCAGGAGGTTATAACCGCGTTATACACCCTGTAACCTCCCTGTAACCTACCTATATATGAAAACAGAAGCGCGGAACTCACTCGAAGGTACAGGTAGGTTACAGGGAGGTTACAGGGGAATAACGTGGTTATAACCTCCTAAAATCCTTACGCAACTCTGCGTAGGTCTTTGTACGCAAATTTTTTCCCATGGTTTGCGCCCATTGGACAAATCTCGGGAAATCAGACGGCCATTTGATGACCATATTGGTGCTTCATTCAGTAACAAGCTAACATTGAGGACAAAATTTAGAATCTACTACAGAAAAATGTAATCTTCCTACAGGTTTCGTTGAATCTAAGGAATAAAGAATTCCTTAATTCTTCTCAACAAAACATATCTGGCTTCTCGAAGCCTAACATTTTGACTTTAATACGTACAGTAACGGGAACACTCCATCCAGAAACGAGAGAGAAAGAGACGAGAAATAAAAAAGCAGCAGTAACCTCCAACATGGTTTCCGCAATAATGGAGCCCCAAATGGTGTCCCAAGCAGGCACCGCAACGTCATTTAAACTCCTCGAGGAATGGATGTTCAAACTTGCCATCTACTATGAGAAGACAAGCGAACATAGAGAAGAAGAAAAAGACGAAGAAGTAAATACTAAGCCTCGATGCTGTTCCCTCGCGCTGCACACCATGAATAAGCTAGCAGCTTATGTAGGGAATTGAGATGAGCGAGAGACGAGATTGAATCACATAATAGGGTTTTCTAGAGAAGAAGAGCGGGGCTTCAAACGAGGAAAAGAAATGAAGACCGATAGAGAGCAAGAGAAGAAGATCATCGCAGCAGCAAGACGCTCGGCGGTGGTAATAAATAAGGAAGCGCGTCGTCGGCCGGACAGCTGCGGAGACTCGACGACGAGAATATGTGGACATTAAAGACCCTAAGATCTCCATTATTTACCAACATGGCCCTCCGATTAATACCTAAACTATAAATATTTTCTCTTACAGCTAATTTTAATTTAAAAATTAGTAATCTAAAGTAAATTTATTATAGATGATAGAACTTACTTTTGTGTCATTATTATATTGACTTACATTAATCTATTCTTTAGTCAAGTCATTTATCAAATATTATTCTAAATAAGTAAAGTCAATTTCATTGCCCACATTTTAATTGCTTATTTGTACTTTATTATAATAACTGCGCGGGTTATTTCTGGTATTTCTGGGTTATTTCAGGATTATTAAAAATAACTCAGAAATAACCTGAAAATAACTCAAGAATATCATATGCCGCACGTAGAGCTATGTTAGAAGTCCGCACAGAAAAATTTTTGCTTTTAGAGGCCAAAAAGCAAAAGAGATTGCATGGATGTGTTAATTAACATTAAAAATATAAGAGGAAATGGATTCATGCTAAAGTTATTATTATGAAATACTAAAGTCAATTAAAAAATAGTTAGAAAAGAATAAATAACAAGTTTATTTTTTTCACAAAAGGACAGGAGAGAGAAGAAAGGAATAAGACAAAGAAAAGCATGATGAGTGGAGTTCAGATCTTGATGTTTCGTGAAACAATGAATGAAGACCATATTCAGGTCATGTGCATTGGTTTCAATTTTATCGCAGAAGTAGAACACTGAGAGCTTACCGCATAAAAGTTCTAAGATCAGAAATGAGGAATATATATATATATATATATATATATTTGA